GTTCCTCCGGTACTTTTCTTTGAGTTATCCATAGTTCGCTCATCGAGCCGGGGGTCAGGTTATTCACCCGCAGGAAAAGGCGCTCGCGCGGGACCGTAGCAGGATGTGACGCATATTTTTGTTGACCTAATTAAAACCGTTTTGTTTTTTATTTATGTGTCACAGTATCACCTCAAAATACAAGATACGAAACATTTTCAACCATGCAACAAAATATAAATAGTCCTACAAATACTTTTATTTTATTTCCTTCTTATTTTTTGTCTAAGCTCAAGGGAGCCAGAGGGGGGGGCTTAAAGGGCCGCATGCGGCCCGTGGGCCGCGGGTTGCCGACCCCTGCAGTAGGCGTATACATTCACACTTCATTAAAGTATTAGCCTTCAGAACAGTACAGCTTACAGAGAAGAAATAACATCTGATACGTTTAGAACAAACACTATCTGATCTTTTTAGGTTTTTAGTTACATTGTAATCCTGTTGACAATCCAAATTTTTTTTGAAATGTTGCAGCCATCTTATCAAAGTTAACCTGAAGGATCTGTGTGCCTCTCAGGTCGTCTGTATGGAGCTGATGACTTCCTGCCCATGCTGACCTACGTGTTGGCCCAGTGCGACATGCCCCAGCTGAACAATGAGATCCTCTACATGATGGAGCTGCTGGACCCCTCTCTGCTTCATGGAGAAGGTTTGTTATAACAGAGTGTGGAGCCTCCACCATGAGAGAAAAGTTGTATTTGCATCTTTACTAATAAATGGTTAACCCTCTTCCTCTGCGTGTCCAGGTGGCTACTACTTGACCAGCGCATATGGAGCCATGTCCCTGATTCAAAACTTCCAGGAGGAGCAGGCGGCCAGAGTGCTGAGCTCTGAAACCAGGAACACGCTCCACCAGTGGCACCGCCGGCGCACCACCCAGCGCTTTGCTCCGTCCATCGATGACTTCCAGGTAGCTCAAACTGGAGACTTTGTTTCAAGTCATCTCATATTTATAGGGCTCCTATTAGTTTCTCTCCAACACACTCCCCCGACTGCCTGCCATTGGACTCTTTTGTTTACTTGCATATCATAATGACATCACTATGTAACATTCACGCTTCTATTGGCCAGCCCTCCAATACACTGTACGAACGAAGCTCAGATTTTCTGACGATTTAGGGAGAGTTTCATGTGTTTGATGTAGGAGACAGAACAGTGTAACCTTAGACAAGAGGAAAGCCAAGATATTTAGGTTGAAAAATGTATCCTCTGCATATTCAGGCAGGTTTTATGTTTTTATGTCTTGTCCTTATATGTTTCTTTGTAAAGCGACCTTGAGGTTATGAAAGGCGCTATATCAATTCAAGTTATTATTATTATTAGTATTAGTAGTAGTAGTAGTAGCCTAAACACCAACAATGAAACACATGAGCACATACTACAGTTTAAAAAAGCAGAAAAGATCAATTGAGCTGACAGAAAATGCTCTGTAGGCGTTTAGATTCACACTTAAAGTATTACAACAAATTCAGCTGTACTCAAAAACAATAAAGAATGAAGTCCAATATGTTAAACGTTGCTGTATCAAACATTGTTTTGTGGCTAAGATGTAGGTAAATGGCAGGTTTAGCCACAGGGAGTGCTCAGTGTTGAAAGATCTCCACTATTAGTCTGATTGCTTCTCCTGACTGTCCCACAGAACTACCTGCGGGTGGCGCTGCAGGAGCTGGACAGCGGCTGCACCGCCAAGACACTCCAGGTCCGACCGTACGCCTCCGTGGACGAGGTGTGCCGTCTGTGTGCCCAGAAGTTCAAAGTGTCGGACCCCCAGAACTACGGCCTGTTCCTGGTGATGGAGGGCAGCAGCCAGCAGCTGGCGCCGGACACCCACCCTCAGAAGATCAAGGCGGAGCTCCACAGCCGCTCGCAGGCCACGCCGTTCCACTTCGTCTTCCGCCGAGTGGCTCCGTCTGCAGCTACCCTCGATCTCACACCCAACCTCAACAACCTCACTGGGACTCCTGAACCCCTGGACAACCTGCGTGCCCTCAGCAGAGACCTGTCCCCCCCCTCCCCCAAGCCCACTCTCAGCTCAGGCCTCAGTCCTACTCTGAGCCTCAGCCTGCCCACCACCAATGGCAACTCTATTTCTGTATGACTGTAACAGGGGGCTGGTGGACAGTTGGCCATGGCTTTCTCTCCCAGTATTGACAGTATGTCCTTTTATCTCTAACAAACAAAGGGCAAACGATGCGTCTTTACAAAGCCTTACTTCTCCATTTGGATTTGACCTCAATTTGGGTCTCTCAGACAGACGAGGGTGAAAGAGGAAAAGGACAGGAGGGAAGGAAACGAGAGGAAAGGACGTTTATACAACTTAAATGGTTCTCTGTTTGGCCTCAGAGCAACACTTTACTGAACACTGCCCTCAAAGTCTTAACCATTAAGGTAAGATGTTTAAGATAAGTGTGTTAAAGACGACATGAACACTTACATGTGTTCACAGCAGCTCTTCATATTCAGGGTCAGCTGTTCTTGTTGTTACCTGTAAGGTCTATAGAGGGAAATCAGATCCCCAATACATGAGGGGACTATTCTTTGATCAATCATTTTCAATTGTTTGTTTAGTAAATAGGTTTTAATATGATTTATTTGTAACAGTTGCTGGTCAACTGTGTTATTATGTTGTGTGTGTTTTTGAAACTGTACATTCTTTAGATTGTTGAAATATTTAGATGGGTTGGGCGACACCCAGTGGTGACTGGTGCACATTGGAAGAGTTTTATTCAAAGCACCATTTATGGCCTCAGACGTGAAAAAATAAGCATCAAAATGAATGGAGAACTGAACTGTATAACCTTTAGCCCCAACTCACCAAGGCTGCCGTTATTAGAAAAGCAATCTGCTCCTAGGTCTTTTCTTAATCACTTTTCCTTAACCTCAGCAAAACACGTTATAGGGTAAAGCAAAGACGTGAAGGAGAACTCATCAGGACAATTGTTTAACAAACGACCACCTCATGCTGTAATGAAGAGGTTTTCCTCTCACACAAGCACAGACGTGATGGTCGGCTCTAGTTCCAAAGTGGCAATGGTTCAAATGCAACTTTTTTACCATGATCCATGCCACATGAGGCAACTCAATAGTTGTTGTTTTTTGCGTTTTTGGGCCTTTAAGGAAAAACATTTGTTATTTTAAAAAAGATTATAAAGTGGTTTAAAAGGGCACTATACTTTCTGAAATTGGTGCTTACAAAAACAGAGTATGAGTAAATATGTTGTTAACCCTTAGATGCATAAGTGGGTATTTTTTGACCCGGTGAGGTGGTTTTCTTAGAGTATCTTTGTAATTACATTTTTTTATCATTTCATATTCCAGCTATTTCTCAAAAAACATGTTTTGGATATCATGCCATTCAAATTTTACATTTTAAGAAATTGTAGTTTTTGTATTACGGAAAAAAAAATGACCCGCATGCATTTCTATGGAATTTNTTTTTTTTCAAAATGTAAAAAAAAAATCAAAAATTATAAATAGTGAAAAATTAAATATAAAATATTTCTAGTGTGAACCAAAATATAATACTAAATATTATACAAGTGATTTTTCTTAACCAAAATGACAAAAATGGCATAAAAACACATTATTCTAATACGGCTCCTTTTTGACCCACTTATGGAAGAGTGTAGGATCCAGTGACTCAGGCATCTAAGGGTTAAATATATATAAAAAAACAAAACCTTTTGTAATTGTTATTTTTTTTGCTCCTGTTGATACATGTAATATAGTTAAGTGAAAATAAGACAAAATACAATATATTAAAGTTTAAGTAGAGAGCTGTGCAGATTTTAAAAAAGGACAGACATGTGCAAAATACTCAGAGGCAAAGCCAACCATACCCACAATGCAATGCTCCATAAATTATAAAAAAATTGTGTATAAAGACTTCTGTTCTTTGTTTTCTGGAAATATCAGAGCCAAACTGTGCCTTTATCAAATCTGTTTTAGCGACATGCAGCATTTCCTGTGCATCAAGTTGCAGGTCAACCCCATCGATGAAAGATATCATATTATACATTTTTACATAATAATCTTAGGAATTAACATTTTAAAATATTGTTATTGCTTGTAGTTTGTGTTAAAGTTTAATGTTAGAAACAGACAGGTCTTCCAGTGTTTAACATTCATGTATATATGTAGTGATTATCCTGGGGATATTAAGATGCTTTAGCATACCTGATATATTGCTTACTTGTTAAAGGGCATTGTGTCCATTCAATTGACAAAATGTGAGCAAGGAACAACTGCAGCTGCCACATTACATTTTTAACTATTCTCTGAACTACTGACAAATGTTAAAGGTTTATATTGGGGAAATAATGGTCAGTATGGCTCTCGTGGATATTTGGAAAGAGGTGAATATTACTGGGCTAGTCCCACTCTGTACTCAAGTCTACATCAGTATTGAGCTTAGTGCTGTAGATAAAAAGAAATACTTGAAATGTTTTTATGAATTTAAAGGTTCCAATAGTTACAAAATCGCATTGACATGCTGTTATTTTCTGAGTGTAATGAACTGAAACGCTCCATTCATTTCTGTTTAACAATGACAGAGGTAATGTCTACAGTGAGATCAGAAGAGAGGAATCCCAAAGCGATGGGCATTCATCCTCAGTTTGTAACGTTTCTGTATATATGTCTTCGGGCAAGTGTTCAACATACTGCCATGTCATTGGTCATAAACAGTTTTCTTTGATAGAGCAAAGTGAGTATTTATAAGTCTCTGTGCGGGGATTTTTCACAGAAGCCTTTTTCCATGTCTATGATATTCTCTATGGTGTCAAGCTGTCATTTGCATCAAGGTGACATCTTTCTGTTTATTATTTGTCATTGAATGATATTGTAAATATTCTTTTGCTCTTAATAAATGTTTGAAATGGAGTTAAATGCTTGACGCTGTATTTTCAACCCAGTCTCACAAAAAAACGTGTAATAACTACGTTGGTCCACAACGTAGAACGTAGTATTTCTACAAAAACGCCTCAGAAATTGTAAGATCCCTAAGTTTTTTTTCACCATTCAGTCCAATGGCTGGCGTCTATGTCACGTGATCTTCACATTTCTCCCTGCAGAAAAAAAAAAGTTCGAACTTCGTTTTATTCTCGGTGTAAAATGCCTATTTTAAAGTTAGTTTGGCCATTAAAATGCGTTTTGATGTCATTTGATGCGAGAAATATGAGTTGTTATTTCAGATTATGTGTGCAGTGGATGTACATGATCTTTAGTTTGCTAGTTATTACGAAGATTACTTCAGGAAATTGTGTCTATACAACGTTGTCATTGTTACCAAGGTGGTTGCTAGGGACGCTGCTATCGATATTATTTCTGTTATGTTGTGTAAAATGGTGTTATCTTCATTGCTACCCCCTTCCCCGTCAATGCATAGTGTTGGTCCACAGCGCAAACGTATTAGTTTAACAAAATCCGCAATTGTGGCATAGCGTTGTGCCGAGAGATGGGAGTCGGAGGCGGGGTATCAAAGGTAAAAGCTAGACTTTTATTTAGCAAAAACAGACCGGCGGAGACAAGAAGTCCGGCTCACTAAAATGTCCGTGCAGAATAATACCCTAACCCATAGATCCGTGGGTGAATTATGTCAATCACCACAATAGATACGTTATTTTCCCCTGTGCAATTCTCAATTTACTCAACAATAACACATAATTATCCTTGTGTTTATTTATTTGTTTGATTAATAAACACAAGTTGGAGTCCGTCAGGACCAAGGGTCTGAGCAGCTCATTTGCTTTACAGAATATTACACCCGGAAGTAAGTATTCTCTCCGCTTCGCTTGACAAACCCCGTGATAGTCCTCAAGCTCTGTGATTGGATGTTTGAGTGTGCTCCGAGGGTTACGCCGAGCGTCAAACAGCTCTTGAAATGGGATGGAACCACGGCAGACTGTCCAAAATTGGATTTGAACTGGTCCACCCCCACCCGTGCCCAGAACTACACATGCTAGTAGTGATGTGTCGGTCGCGAACGAGCTGGCTCAAAGAGCCGGCTCTTTTAAGTGAACGACGGGAGCCGGCTTGCGCCCGCGAACGAGCCAATTGTTTGTTTTTTTTGCAGAGGGATCTAGATCGGCATGAAGGCACACTATCCAATGTGTACATTATCCCGCTTATTACACGGCCACATTCTCAACAAAGTAACGACATGACTCCCAATATTAATTGAAAGGCTTTTATGGATTTAGAAAATGATTTTATTGATTTAAAAAATAGTTGTATGTATTTATTTAAATTGTCATGCATCCGCTAAGAAAAATAGTCCGTTGTTACTGTTTGAACTAACGTAGCAACGGCAGGAACTGCTTCGATAGTGTTTTTGAGGAGCTTTTTTGATTACAGATTTTGAAAAACAT